CACTCCTGTATTCGTGGCCTCCGGAGATGCGGGTGGAGCTGAGGTGAGCACCCCGCGAGGGCCGTGCTGGCGGGAGGGGCCAAGGGGCCATGTTGGTGCCGGGGTGGGGGAGGCCAGCAGCAAACTTCTGCTGTGCCGAGATCAGGATTGGGAAGAAATTCCCAAGAAATTCCCAAGTTGGGAAGAAATTTCAAGAAATTTGAATTTTACAATCTTTGATGGATTTATTCAGAAGATCTACTGCAGTAGGAGGTAATGATACCCTTGTAGTAAGACTGTGCTCGAAAATCGAAAGAAGAGGCAAAGCCAAGATAAAAAAACCTAGCTCTTTTCAATAAAGTTTTTAAAGTATGTGACATATATTTATCAACCTTTGGGACTTGCAAATATAATTACACAGTTCTATTATGTGGATTTAAGGTGCTAGAAAATATGTGATTTTCCTTTTTGTTTATCTTTCAATTAACAAATACAGGAATAACATCCCCACAATAGAGTGAATTTGGCACCATCTTCTCCTGACTTGAACTTCCTCCTGACTTTTGCATTCGATTTAAGAAATAATTGCTCCAAGCATATAATTTTCAGAGAAATTACAGTACTGTAGCTAAGAATAAAAACTGGGTCTTAAGGCAGTAGCATCAAAGGAATGGTTTTGTCTAGTATAAACCAGTCTTTTACTTCAGCTTCACAAAGACAATTACCAGCCCATGGTGTGAGAATAACACTTGTGCTACAATTTTAGCTAGAAATATCTTTGTCACACTCCCATTTTCTTGCCAATGTGGGTTGCACATTGTTTTTCTATTGCTTTAATAAGAAGAACATTATTCTTTTATTCTTCCATAAAAGCATGAATTGAAAGAAAATAAGGAGTAAACAAGAGTTGGTACAGATAAATAGATGCGGAGAAATTATCTGTAATGAGACTGTTAAATATCTGAAGTGGCAATTAATTTTATTCCTGCTCTGTTTTGTTTCTTTAGATTAGTAAGTTGTGTGTGCATGCGCTTGTTTACACATTCTGTCTCCTGGCCTTGAATATACTAGCCGTGCAGCAACTTCATCCTATTTATTTGGTGTATATACACAGTATTAGAAAAAAACAGCTATAACAACTACTTTATTCTTCTGAACGTAGAGCGAAAACGGGAATTTCATTATGTCTTTTCATATACTGGATAAATGAGATCTCTTTTTAGAGATAACAATATAGGGACCATTTTTGGTTGTTTAGCTAGCAGGTAAATAATCAGAAAAGGTGATGTGTTTCTGTAATACCTTTATCTGTTGGTATTTTAAAAGAGCACTGTCAGTGTGACACAACGTGCACCATAATAAGGGTTACTGTGCCTCCAAAACATTAATTAAAATGGATCATGTTTTATTTTTATAGAAGAGCTCCAACAAAGCGTCCAAGGTCAGCATGTCTTTTTCTCTTTAAAGACATAATTAAATAAGTTATGTGCTGAAAAGAGTGATTTTTAGGGACATTGCTATTAATTTAGTATCATATGATGAGTAGAGAAGCATCCTACTGCTTGACAGATGAATATGACCCACTTTACAAAGTCCTGTGCTTCCTTACGAATGAATGACACTGTGGTTGTTGCCTGGCCTGATCTTAGAAGAGGCTGAATGCCCCGAGAAAATTCAGCATTGAGGGCCGGACATATACTCAGCATTTACGCCAGTATTAATATACATGCATGAAGTTCAAGTGTTAGTTAATGTCTTGTCTCCCTCTGAAGGCCAGTATTTAATGTGATTGAAAAAGAGCTATTTAGGCAGGAAAAATGTGAAACTGCATTTCCTTACTAATTAACCCTGCAGTCATCACAAGGCTTATTATCAATTTGTAGTATTGCAAAATTTGTATTTCGTTCTTTTGGAGGGTCTCTTTATTAAATCTATGCATCTTTCTGAAAAAATAAGGATAATTTATTAATCCAATTGAAGAAAGTTTATAAGGAATAACAGCTGTGTATTAAATATAACAAAAGCTAGCACAAAGATATTTTCAGCTAAGAAGTTTTCACTGCAACTTGCTATGCTGTTTTTCAAACAGAAAAAACTTGAGGCACGGAGAAAGGTAGTGAAGTTTTCCAATGGCTCAATTGCTAGGAGTAAAAGGTCCCCACTTTTGTTGTGAAGGTGTAAGATCCTTCGTGAACACTGTTTTTTTTTCTGTATACTGTCATCTTTTACTCTGCCTATGTATATTTTGGGAAAAAAAAAATTGTGTTACCCAGTAACAGACTTGCTATTCAGATTAATCATGTTGTCTTCCGCTTTTCAAATATGACATGAAGATACAGAGTTAAAGTCTAGAAAATGGCCAGAGGAATTATGAGTATGCTGTGACCTGTAGGAGACTGTAGAAGAACTACCAGCAGTTCTTTAATGTTAGCATGCTTTTGTATGATGCTAGCATTGCTAAGAGCAGTACATCTTGCTTTAAAGCTCATGCGTTAACTCAATAAAAAGTTGCAGATTCAGAAATTAAGCACGTTGTATCAGTGTGAACCAGGATACTAGACAGCATAAAAATTAAATGGAGTTCTGCATATTACTTTTCTGTAGATAAGGCTGGATTAAAAGGTCTATGCACTCCCTTAGCACAGTTTTCCCTTCTATTATGTTGATTCAGCTGCCTGTGAAACTGTGTAAGGGGATCTTCTGGTAAGTAATCCTGGCAGCACTGCTGACTTAGGCAGTCACCTTTCCCTGTTTAATTACTGAATGCAGAAATGCTTCACAGAGAGCACTCAGAGGGGAGAAGAGTCATCTCAGTGGGTAGGGAGAAACGACAACTGCCCAAGCAGCGCTTCTGAATGTTTAACTGCAGTCTGCTCAGATCAGTGAAGGATCTCAGTTTAAGAAATGAAGTCTCTTACACCTGCTCTGCCTCATGCCCCAATTCCTCCCAGACTATGAAAGACCACAAGCCTGGGCATGTGATTAAAACGTACCGGTCTGGCCTAGAGCACAACATCACAAGCAGATGAATTAATGATGCTGGAGGGAGCTGGGACTGCTGCTGAGAGTGAGCAGAGACAGGAATAAGAAACATGAGCAGTTCATGAACTGGCTTTGCTGTCAGAAATATTAATAAAGCAGAAGTGTCATACAGACAGACTAGGATGTCTCTATTTTAAACTTGCCAAATCTTATGAGTTTATAGTCTACCAAAATACTATGAACATCTACATAAAATGCCAGCAGCAGGATTTACACGAAAGTTCCACCATTCATTTTAAAATGTTTCAATTTCTAGACCTTATTTTCATAATGAGTACCATTCCTGTATCATGGAAAAGTGCTTGCAGGGGAAACCTAGCTGCACAACGGAGCCTCAGAAATCAGAATTGAAACCAAAATAACCCAGTCAAGCTAAGTCAATTCTTATATTCAAGCTATGATTTTGGAGGACTTAATTGGTTTGGAAATTCTATCAATGCTACTTGGATTGTTTATGCCAATAAAAATAAGCCTTAGCTGCAGAATATGGCATTGGAAGGCTTCCCAATAGCACCTCATCTGTTGTTAGTGTATGATTTTATTCTGGGTGAAACCATATAGGTACAATGCTGTTATTTAAAAACAATCAACAAAAACCCCTCAACATTGTTGTGTTGCTTTTTTTTCCTGAAAGATAACTTTAATCAAAAACAACCTGGAGCACATATTGGCAGAGTGATGTGATGTCCTGAGACACTACTGGGTTTTCATCCCTCTCAAAGGAAATAGAGTTCATTTCATGGAATGTCAGAGAAAGCAGCTTTCATCAGCTTCTACAGTCAGTGCTTGAACTGATGGGGGTTTTAATTACCAGCACTGCTCAATCTGTGCCTATCTGATGGTAGAAGGAGCTGTAATACAGGTACTGTAGAATAATTTAAGTTGTAAGGGATCTCATCTGGTAAAACCCTCCACTCAAAGCAGGGCTAAATTCAAAGTTAGATCAAGTCGTTCAAGTTACGACATACCTTGGATAAATACAGGGTTTGGGGAAGAGGTGGGGGGGTGGATTTTGTTTGGGGTTTTCTTTGTATGCATGTTGAGCACATGCAGAATTGAAACCTTATTTACAAAAGTTGTGTTACAAGTGAAGAGGTGAAGAGACTGGATTTTTTCCACCTAAACCTTAAAATTCTAAGTTATAAATCCAATCTAGAAACATTTTCACTAATGCTGGTGAGGCAGCTTTGCTGCAGGAGATCACACAGTGCTACTGCAACTGCACAAGAACTAAGGTCATTTTGAGTATGTTCACACACATCTACTGCTCTGAGCTTTACACAACTGTGGTTAGCATGGTCAGACTCAGGTTAAAAACATAATATTAAATCTTAACTTCCTTTTGAAAGACTAAACCTCCAATGTAGTGTAAATACTCTTAACCAAACTGTTCTGCTATACTTTAAAATAAATCATAAACTTATAATCAAAACTAAATAACATGGGGATTTTAAAATGTAGCAGTTAAATCAGGAATCCTACTTACCAACTACAAAAATTATGTTTGATTTCCTCAGATCTTCTGAAAATTCTAAAATGAGAATAAAAAGTCTTTAGTTCACAGGAACTACTAATTTTAATTTTAGCTACATTCCACACTGAATCAAGTAAAACTCATGCAGGGTGATCTGATTTTACTGGATTTACTTTCTGCCATAATGATCTGCATTCCAAAAGGAGCTATTATCCACAAGCCTATTTATCTACCAGTTTTGTAGCTTTCACTGCAGATTCGATAAAAATATTTTATCTGAAAACGAGACCTTGCACATACCCATGAATTCTTTTAAAAAGAGAAAGAGAAAAAAAAAGAGAAGCAGATGCATCTTGATGTGATAATGTGTCTCCTGAGCCACTGCAGTTTTCTCTGAATATGTTATTACATTATAATTGCTATAGAAGTTGGTCCATATCCCATTCAGATTTTATATTCAGTGTGCATCTGAGATGTAGTCTTAAATTCCCCTGAGCCCCAACTTCAGCCAAATAATCATAATCTTAAATGAAATCCAAGTGTTACTCTCATTTTAGCACCAAAACTACTAGTGTATGTACTCCAGCTTTGCCTTTTGCTGAAACTGTATTTTTTAAAAAAGCAGTTCCTTCTAGTCTGAGTTCCAGTCATTGGCTTGATTACACCAGTACAGAAGGCGATCTTGCACTGTCTGAGCTTGCCGGAATTTTATTACCTCTTGAGTTAATCACTTACAAGACACATTCATTTACCACATAAAACTGGTTTTTATTATGTGGCATGTACATATTTTATTATATAATATCATTAGCTGTAAATGGTTTTGATTAATCCTTTCATTCCTCTTAGACTCTTAGCAGCTCATACTTTCCAACAAGCTTTTCATAACAGCCAATTTCTGAAAACACCTCTGAGATCTGATGCTGATGAATGGTAGTATTTTCTAATAATTTTGGATCCACTGGCCTAAAGAGTGTAGAAATATTTTTGCAAGCTTTAATTTGCATTCAAAGAGAATTCACATGATAAAATCCTTCGAGACATAACTTCCACAATATAGATAACTTGAATTCACTTCTTCTAAGTAACTGTTTAAATACAATGGGAAACCAAAGGTTTCAAAATGAAATGGCAAATGATACTGAAAAAGAAACTCACCTCCTGTGCTCTCATAACCAGAAAAAATTGATTGATCCTCCTCCTGTTAATTGAGCAATTGACAAATTGAAATGGATATTCAGCATAGTTTGCATTTCTTCTTATATCTGCTTACAGGTATATCTTAATATCATCTCCATATTCTAACCTCTCAGGTTTAATCTATGCTGAGATATGGTTAACAATGTCACAGAAATACTGTTAGTGCTGTTTCAGTTGGTAGAACATGAGCAAGGAGAAACCAAGACAACTTGAGATGATTAACTGTCCTGTATCGGTTTTGTGAGGAACAGCATTTTCAGTGTTCAACGGCACAGTTCCAGCACGATATATAAGAAACCAGTGTGCATGCTGAGTTGCTTCCCAAGTAAACACGGCAGGACAAGCCGTTAGAATTGGAAGGCAACATTGGAGTAAGTTCTAGAAGATAAAATCATTCTTTGGTCTAAACAACTTGAATGTGACACAAGCTACAAGTTGTTATAGAGGCTGCTGAACTACAAAGAGGAATTACACTTAGGAAATGGGGAATTTGGCATGGTGATTTTTCATCATACTTGGCCACTCAGAATTATTTTGTCACATACTGTATAGTACAACCAAAGAGGAATCACAAATACTGGCCAGCAAGAGTTTCAGAATGGGAATTCTTTGCTGTTCTTATAAATCAGAATTATTTATGTGCAGGACATAGTCTAGGTTATGTAATCACACCATCAGCACTTTAGTCTATAAAATATCCATAATAGCATTGACAGTAACATCCTTGTATTGCATCATCAGTGTGTAACATCAGCATGGAATACTTTATGTTAGTACCCTCAAAATAGCATAGGTCATCAAGCTGTAGTTTCTTACAGTTCTACTTCAGCGTGCTGTCATAAATAGCCACTGTTAGAAATTTGTACAGCTGCATGAACAGATGAAGTGAAACCACCAGCATGGTGAATAGATCGGGTAAACCACTGGCCACTGTCGTTTTCAAGGCTCTTGCACTACCCTTGCAGGTTTCTCCTTGTGTTCCCATAATCACTGAAACAGAAGTACTCTTCATTAGGCTGAAGTACCATTACATCGGCTACGTAGAATATTTTCATTTTTTGATTCACAGTAATTCTCAGCCTATTACACTGAAGCAGGAAAAAATGCCATCTTAGAAAAGAAAAAAAAAAAAGGGAGAGGGGGGCAAAATTAAAAAAGCAATTGGATCCACTGAGTTTGGAGGAGAGTATTTCAGGAAAAAAAAACGCTTTCAAATAAGAGATGAATTTCTTTCCTATAATTCCAGTGACAGTATTGAACTTACATGCTTTTTCTTTGTATTTTATTTTCTTTGTACTTTATTGTAAATATACAATAAAATATTTGACCCTGCACAGGATATATTACATATAAAAGGCCTAGTTTTAGATTCAGCTTCTTATCATGTCTTTGAAGGTTTATGGATCAAAATCATTTTAGGCACAAACTTTAGAGTAAAGTTTCTTTAAAATCAAGATCACAATCCTAAGTTTGCAATCAAATGAAAGAGACATTACTGCTTTCAAGTACTGCTTTGCTCTTCCCTACAACTGCAGAATGAAACTGCTTCTGTAAGACTGGTGGGCTGCTCAGAGCAGCAGGTGATAATAAAGGTCAGTTTAAGTCAGGAACAGCTCTAATTTTTTAGACCTGAAATATGTAAAATCTAGAGACAGAACTGAAGATAAATAAGCTATCAGCTGCTCTTATTTGACCAACCATATCTCCTTTAATAGAACAAAAGTTCTAACCAAGCCATGTTTACATAAGGAACAAGTGTTATGAAAAGCCATCAAAGTGAATTCTAATTACAACTCAAAAGCAGGTAAGCAGGAAGCGTGACATTGATCAGGACCCAGAACATCAAACAAAGGAATTCTGTTTATATCTGTAACTGCTCACTTTTCAGGGGCAGAAATATTGTTTACAGAAGAACTGCTTTTTTTCTTCACATTTTTTTTTTCAAAGGGCATGTGTTTCATAGCTCTATAAGACAACTCAGCACACAGCTTGATGTGAGTGGTGAACTTCCATGACAAAAGAAGCTTCCCCATGTTTTAGGGAGTAAGTTATTTTATAAAAACATTTTTTTCAGACAGAATTGAACAGCACCCAGTTGGGGTGGAAAGAGGTCCTGAAAGCCTGGTCTTTAGGGGACCCGTAAGAGAAGTCAAGAGGAAGAAATTAGAACAGTTGGACTGCAATTTGTTTTTGATGACAAGGTATTCCTACAGTTTTCACTACTCTATACTTGAACTGGACTTAGAACCATTTCCCTCCACCTTTCCTCCCAATCTGCTCAAAAGTACAACCAGGTTTTGTGCTGATCTGGGTGAGGAGCTAGATTCACTGTTTGGCTTGGAGTCCCTTATAGAGAGTGACAGAGACTGGCATCCAGGTTAACACCAGTCCCCTATTTACGTTTGACAATACCTCTTTCTAATTGCGTCTTTCTAGTAAGTGGGTGTCTAAGCTGTGAATTGTATTGGCCTGAAAGCACTGTTCTGCCTGGTTACCAAAGCGCTCTGGAAAATAACTGTTGGATTTAGAATCTGATCACATGAAGAAAAGTCTCACCAACCGCTAGATTGCTAGTAGTATTTTACACCACATTGCCATCAGGAATACAGCGATTTAGCAGAACAGTCTCTGTATTCTTGGTATAGCTGTTTCCATTTAGTTGAAAGCAAGGTGAGGAAGATTATAATCTTATATGTAATGAGCTCTGAAGAAAGAAGAGTATTGTATAACTTCAGATGCCTTTAAAGCCAGGTTATATCTACAAATTTTATCTGGAAACATATAAATTGATGGGGCATAGCTGACTGTAACTGCTTAAACAAGATCAACAATACATTAAAATGCTAAATAGAGAAGTTTGCTACCTGTGGAGAATCTCTTATCTGACATTTGCCTTTAGAGTTGGAAAACACAGGCTTCTGACTGTATTCTGACTTCTTGTCATTTAGGTCATTATTAGTAAATAATACCTGACTAGTAGTAGGTACTTCATAGATAGGCAGTTTAAGTTACTGCCTATCATTGCTAGGTTGCAAAGTAATTTCCATAATAAAACAAACTGACAGCAAGTCACAGCATGTAATAAGGAAATGACACAGGATTCTCCAGAACTTCAAGTTTTGCTGCTAATGAATTAGGACTCTTTAAGTCATATCACTTTGAAGAAAGCAATAAAATACTTTTTAATTTATTTATTTATCTAATGATGGGACATTTTCTTCATTAGGATTTAATGATAACTGTTGAGAATGTTTACTACCTTATGAAACAAGAAAACTTTTCTGTTACCCATTGATAACCTCTGCTCCAGTCCTTGGTGTTTTGTTTTTCTTTTTTGTAACATGAAAAAGAAAAAACATTCTCTTTTATCACTTTGTTGTTTGACTTCTAACAGATGTAACAAGAGTTTCTCCTAGAAATTTACTGAAGAGGATAAATAATCACAGATTAAGAAGAGGCAGTAGAGTGAGACTGAATTTAAAATACCGCATGATTCTTGCCTAAAATTATGCTCAATTTTCGAGATTGAATTTGAGAATGTAAATATTCAAATTAATATGTCAGGCACAAATTATTTCAACAAATATAAACTACATGTTTCTCTGCCTAAAAATATTTGTCGAGAATCGAACTTAATGTGTAAGCAAAAGAAAAAAAAAAGCAGCATAGACAAACATAATTTTAATATAGAATGACATAATGTGTACAGTAGAAAGTACAGGCAAGAACTGACTGTAAATTTATCATGGCGATCTCATCAGTATTCCTCTGATGGGAATACATGTATATAAGCACCAATTCCTCAGCACACTGTAGTTTGATAATGGTCCCTTTGCTGTTGTTAGGTATGCAAAACACTTGTATTCCTGTACCATTTTATTTCTTCAAAGAACATTCAGTTTCACATAAATCTTTCCTGTACTTCCTTTGGGAATAGAGGCAAGGGCATTATGTCCATCTTAGGCGACTCGTCGATGTAAACACAGTTTTATAGGGAAGCAGAACTAGGTTTAGGACTTAGATTTCCACTTTCACCTCTTTAGCCTGTAGCATATTTACTTTGAATCTTTAGTCCTTAGTAAAGTAATATTAAACGAAATCTCAAATATTTGCAGATGATGCTTCTACATCTAGTACCCATAAAATTAACTCTCAATGAAATAAACTCTCTCACTGATTAAGAATAGTTTAGGGAATCAAAAAGCAGTATGAGGTGTCTCTTGAGCACCATCTGCATATACAATTTGTCTGCTTCAGCACAGTCCAGTCTATCACAATCTATGTGGTTTTAGAGTCTGACATGGATTTAATGGACATACCTAATCACAAAGGATGGTCATAGAGATTAGATGTATTCAGTCTCTATTATAAAAAGGTAGCTATCACTGAGTGCTGTCCTTGCATGTATTGCAGAATGCAAAGACCATGAGCAAACTTTAGCTAGACAAGTTAAGCATTGGAAGAAATTGGGGCTAGTCACGAGCTTAGGTGTGGAATTTGTCTTTTATATTCCTGTTTTCTTCCTGTAAGAGTGAATGTTTGGTTTTTATGAGATATGCTGGATTAGTTGCAGGTTTTATGTACGGGCAATAGTCCCTGGGAATGGCCTTTATGAGCCATACAGTTGCTTGCTGTTAGATTTGATTTATGATTCATATCACTTTTTGAGGTTGAGCTGCTTTCTGCAAGCTGAGTGTTAAAGTATGCCTCTGGAAAGCAGGGGTGGCTGTGCTCTCACCTCCTCTGGTCCACAACTAATGAATATGTGTAAATAAGATAAGAAATGGCATGAATACTTTCAGACTTCAAGGCTTTTCTTTCCCTGAAAGGCATATCTTATTACACAGCGCATAGCGCTCAGCAGAGTGGAGTTATTTGTGTCAAAAGGGACTAACAGTAGTTAAGATGAAAGAACAGTGCTAATGTTATTTGAGACGATTTTTGTTTATTTCGAGTGCATATAACTAGAAAGTGCAAAAAAAAAAATCAGTGTTTCTAATA